AATGTTTACTAATTCTCTTAAAATTTGGAAACAAAAATACTTCTAAATGAGGACAGATAGATTAAAATGCTTGCTTGAAACAATTCCTGTAAGGGGTTAATGTTGGAAATAATCTGTTTGTGATCTTAAAAAGTTTGTGATAGTCCCAGCAGCATTCAGTAGCGTATCTTATATTTCCTTAGTCTGTGTGAGCCTCCTTTTTATTTATTTATTTTTTTGCAATGGAAACAACATGAGCTCAAAAACATACGTTTTCGAGTTCATTCTATTTTCCATAGTACTATTGCAGCAGTGTCTAAGAGAATCATCACATTAAAATGTGTGGGGTTTTTTTATGTTGTTTTATTGTAGTTTGTGCTCTGGTCTTCTTGGAATATGTATTTATGATTGAATATTTGCATTTTTAGATCATTTTCAGATTTCCCACCAATTTAATTATTACTCAGTTCAGTTCTCATCATTGCCTTTTCCTCATTTGCTTATTTATTTTGGTTCTAACTTATCTTAACATATTTGCCTTAGAGGGCTTGGATATAAAATAATTAGTTTGAATTTTGGTTAGATATATTCAATTAGATTTGTTACGTATTTTTCTTGAATTCTTCTTTTGAAATCATAGCACTTAACATCTTGGTAAGCATTTAGTAGATGTTCAGTGAATACTAAAGTATATCTCAATCTACATATATTATGAAACCTTCTGGAGACCTACTTATAATAGTACTAGAGGCCTGATGCACGGAATTCATGCAAGAGTAGGCCTTCCTTCCCCCAGCTGCTGGCACTGGCTTCCCTCTGGTACCCACAACCTGAGCTTCCCTCTAGCCACCAGCAGGCACCTGAACCCAGGCTTTCCTAGCAGCCCCAGCTTAGTCTGAAAGGAGGTCTGGTCTAATTAGCATATTATGCTTTTATTATTATAAATAGAAAAATCATATTCATATGTTAATTCTTATACAGAAAACACCAGATACACAATGGAGTGATTATGTTAAACTTTTTTCAGGTAATTGATAAAGAATATATGTTTTTTTATTTTATTAAACACATATATGGTAGTCATTGACATACATATTATTTAACCATTTTAATATTTATTGTAAAATAAAAAGTTTCATATATCACTTTACTATTTCATATTAGATTGATTAGATCAATTCAATCATTTAAGGAAATTGCCAATGATAAGGATTTTATGAGAACAATTTACAACTGCCTTTTCTTTTGCTGACATTCTAAATGTTGCCTAAATTTGAATTTGCAATATCAAATTCAAATGAATGAAAACTTTTATGGCCTAGAGAGTTACATTTAGAAATATTTATTGCATTCAATCATCAAATACAGTACTAACTTTATGCCAATGAGATTATATCAAATTTAATTTCATTAGCAATTATTTGAAAGCCTTTAGTTCACTTAAAAAGTGTGTGCCATCTTGGGATTTTCATTTAGCTATGAATTCTGTAGTATAATTTTATTATATATTATGGTGTCACAAGTGACATAAGATCTGGCTTCAAGTAACAAATGGGACACTAACCCATTTGTATGACTTTAAATTCTTTTTGCTCAATTTTAAACACTGGGGAACTTAGGGATATACAGACCCCCTCTTATCTATGCTGCACATGATCCATGAGCTAGTCTATGTGAACAAACTTCCTTATGAGCTTGAGAGTTCCATTAGTTCCAAATATCATTATTAAAATGATCATTATAGTGGCAAATTTTCTGTCTAGTTCCTAATCTATCTTAAATCGTTCAATGGGGATGATTGTGCAAGAAATAATTTGTTTCTTTTTTTTAATAGCTCCAGTGATGTTTTAGAAATACACTGAAACCTTAAACTGACTTCCAAACCATTTAATATGTCCCTATATATTCTGTGTGTTTATTTGGCATATGTATAGTCACACATACATATATTAAGTCTCTATAAAACACAAAAGCAAAGACAAGGAAGACCCTGATATGACCATCTTTCCATTATGCTATAGGTGGCCTCAAACACTCACACTCTCTCTCTTACCTGCTCAGCTGACCTTCTGGATTAGAGTTTCAGAGAAACAACCAGAGGTATTAGCTGTAGCAAGACAGCAGCTGGGACCATACGGATCTCAGCATCCTGCCTTATGGCCATTATCTTTGTTTCTATCTTTATGCTGCCACACTGTCTCCTTCTTGTGCTCTCCCTGCATCCTCTCCTCGCTGCCTCCTCCTTTTCCTGAATCCACCTCCCACTGCCCCTGGAACTCACCTCCCTCCTTCCTCATTTTTTCCCCTCTATTTTTATAAGAGGAAGCAAGATTCTCTAATTTGGAAATTTAAACACAAAACTATCATCAAAGGGTATAGGATAGCTATGTGAACAATATAAAATATTTATTTCGTATACTTTACCCATTAGAATGTATCAGATTGTAAGTCTCATAAGGGCTAAAAACATATGTAAAATAAACGCAGCAATTTTCCCGTTTTTCTCTGTAGGAGTGAGTTGTGGCTATAATAAAAAAAATAATTTGAGGCTAATGACAAGAAAGAATAGTGAGTAATATCCGTTCCCCCTTCCCCAACTGCTGAAAATGAAAATCATGTCAGCGTCAAGTCATTTTTGCCACATCCCTTCTTAACAGCTTGTTCAGGGTGGGTCATAATTCTGTGTTTTGTTAGTGTCTTAACTCCATAGTGACGTGCTTTAAGGCTTACTCCACATTGATTTTGTAGTACATACTAGTAGATGTTTATTCCTAGGATACTCCATCATGTGAATGATGGGTTGCATTAATAAGTTATTATCAACTTGGTCCAAAAATTATAAGCTTCGGATGAATAATAAATTAATAGGAGGAGGTGAATCATTGATTGTGATATTTGAATATGTGTTCGGTGTCACGTTGTGTATGTCTAAGAAAGTAAACTTACTGTCTGCCTGTCGCCAGGGGGGGAAAAAAAGAGGGACCTAATCAAACTGCTGTGGGGTCAACCCTTGTGGTTTTAAAGGCCCTTAATGTTGTCCAGCTGCAAAATAAAAGGAATTGGGAGGGGAAGTTGGAATGAGTGGAGGGGGTTGGGGGGGAATGTGTGGAAAAGAACAGGGAGTCTGGCTTTTATTTTTTTTTTAAAGTGAGTTCAGTGCCAGCCTGGACATTGGCTGTGCAGACTATTGAGCCATTGTCTGCTCCATTTCCAGAATAGCCCCCAGTTAATCACTTCGGCTTTGAAGGGAATTTCCTCGTGGAATTCTCCACAGAAAATCTAATCAACTGACCTGCCCTCTCAACAATGGAAGGCTTTTTTTTCTCTCTTTCCCTTATTGGGGCGGGCTCTGTAATGTAGCCTTTTGTGCAGAATGCACCCTCCCAGTAGGAGTGGAGAGCGTGTGTGAGTGACTGAGAGTGTGAGTGTGTGTGTGTGTGTGTGTGTGTGTGTGTGTGTGTGTGTGAGTGTGTGTGAAGAATGCACACTATCTCGTGTTGGTGAGTGTGTGCTTACTCCCTGACCAGATGCTGCGGTGCGCGGGGCAGCCACCAGCTCTGCGTGCGTGTCTGTGTAAGTGTCTGTGTGTGTGTGTGTGTGTGTGTGTGTGTGTGTGTGTGTGTGCGCCTGTGGTGTGTGTGTGTGTGCCTCTGTCATTTCATGTCAAAGGTACATTACCTGATTACCTTCCTCGCCTGCCAGATTTTTATCTAGATAATTGGAACTGCTATGGAGGCTGTGCCTGGCCAGCCAGCCAGCCCGGGATCTGGAAAGCCACAGTTTGTCCACCTTGTTATCTGTGGCTGCCTGGGCAGAGGAAATTAAAGAGATTCCCCAGCCAGGGGAGCGCTGCCCACCCCTGACCTCCCCGGAGTCCCAGGCAGGACAGTGTGCGGGTCCCAGCTTTTTGTTTTCTTTTTGTTTTTGTTGTTTTTGGTGTGCGCTTTTTGTTTCCTCCTGTGCGTGTGTGTGCATGAGTGTGTGTGTGCATGTGTGTGTGTGTGGGGGGGGGGGCACACACGCGCCTGTGATCTTGGCATGTGGATGCCCGCTCCCCTCGCATCGCACACCGCGCTGTATGGAGTTGGGAGCCCAGGAAACTTTGCTCGGGCTGCCAGGACGTCCGCACCACTTTGTGGAAAGCACGGGCGAAACAGTGAGACGGACAGAGTGAGTGACAAGTTGTTTACAGGTTTCCTTGAAGGGGCCTCTGCTATATTTCAATCTGTCAAAGTTGCTTTTCTTCCCTCAGAACAATGCCTGATTGTTGTGTGCGTGTGTGCGTGTGTGTGTGTGTGTGTGTGTGTGTGTGTGTGTTTCCGTGTGCTCACCGAGAGAGAGCCTAGGAAGGGGTGAGAAGGAATCACAATTCTTTGTGTAAAAAAAAAAAAAAAAGAGAGAAAAATGCTATTCCTATAATTTCTTTGCTCCAGCAAGTTAATAATGCAGTTGGACCGGGATTCTGCGAGTGCACCGATTTCTCTTTTAATCAGCAGCAAATGCATTTTAGAAGAAAACAAAAAACAAAAAAAACACATGCTCTGAGTGTGTGTGTGTGTGTGTGTGTGTGTGTGTGTGTGTGTGTATGTGAGACAGACTTTTATTATTTAGAGGAGAGAGAGAGAGCATGGGAGATGTGTGAAAGGAGTTGACTTCTCTCACTCGGTGATGTCTAGAAGAGAGAATTAAAAGGAAAGGACAGGCGCCCTGAGGTTGTCTGGTGCCTTGCAGCCCTAAAGAGCATGCAGCCCCGTGGAGGTGGAGGGGGGAGCAGCCAGACCCGGCTGCTGGAAGTGCGCTACCCCTTTAAGAGACTGGTCAAGGAGTCCTAGGAGAGGGAGGGGGGATGAGGGGGAAGAGAGAGAGAGATTGAGAGAGGAGAGACAGAGAGAGAGAGAGAGAGTGAGAGAGAGAGAGAAGAGAAAATCAATTGGTTTAGAAGGTTTGGACTCACTTGACAGGTTCAGTTGGAGACGATCATAGGTGGCTGCTGTGACAAAGGGAAATTGTGCTTTTCCAGCATGCTTACTGACCCTGATTTACCTCAGGAGTTTGAAAGGTGAGTACAGTCTTTACCCCCTAATCTATTGAAGTACAACTCTTCCCATTTTACAGCCGGCTCTGAATCAATCAGAAGATGCTGCCCTGTGTTTGTTAGGAAAGCTGTGGAGCTCAGTGTTTCTGCAATCTTGTTAGCTGATTTTTGGTGGTGATTGCCCGGACCAAACTGAACTGATTTGTAAAATCTCTGAGATTTCAGTGTTTGTAGGTTGCGTCCTATAACAGGAAATTAAATGAACATTAAGCATCTCTCTCTCTCGCTCACTGGCTTCTTTTCTCTTTCTCATTCACTCTCTGACTTTCTTCCTTCATTGATATTTTTTATTCCCTTCTACACCTTTTTAACTGTTTTTGTGCAGAGTTGTTAACCATTTTCAACATCTCTGTCTGGCAATTCCTGGGGTGACAGAAGATTTTAGTGGTGGTTCAAACGGAGGCTGTAAGTTCCTATGTGATCCTTCGTAAAACTTTGGAAGCTGCTCAGGAAAGCACATGACCTTTTGTTGATATAAGAGAGCGGATTATTTTAAAGAATAGTTAATATTGCAGCCATCCCTTAGATTACTTTTGAAATGTCAAAAAAAGGGGGAAATGGGATGATCCCTTTCTAAGTTTTTGTGACCACTTTATGCACTGTTGTCTTAAACTAAATTTTGATTTACAATATATCCCCCTTTGCTCTAAAGGGAATACGTGTATTTGTAATGAAGTAGTTCTTATTTGGAAAAATATTTGCAATATCCTTCTATTTGATATTGATGTCAATGAAGCAGGGCTTTGCAAGAATTTTAGCCCTCTTAGTGTTTCTATAAGTTCACATTGAAAATTTTTAAAATTTGAGTTCTTATCCCAGCATAAGTTTATTTTTAGAACTATAAATAGATTTTTGTTTGCCATTAAAAAGAATTCAAACTTTGTATTCTGTATGGTGATTTTTTTTTTTTAAAAAAAAGCTAAAAAAAGCCAGGATGCATAATACCCAGGCTTTTTTTTTTTTTTTTTTTTTTTTTTTTCAATTTCATGAAAGCTACCTTCTGTATAAACATTTGTTGTATCTGACTATGCAATGCAAGCTAGGTGCTAGACCAGCTGGTTAAAAATATGCTAAGTCAAGCTGTTCATCGCTCAAACAACTGAATTTGATATGAAAAGATGAAAAAAGAAAGGACAAAGATTAAAACATTCTAGAAGTGAAGCAATTGAAGAGAAGGATTCGTAAGCATGCTAACAGACTGTTCTTATAAAAAGGTAGTTACATATTAACAGGCTATCACCTATTTCTCTATATAGGCAAGCTTTCCTGCTGTGAACTTTATTTGTATTTTTTCAGTTATCTTTTTCAAACTAAACTTTTACCTTTCCTATTCTGATGCTCACATCTCTTAACAATTCTTTTTCCTCCTGATGAGAATTTCTTTTTGTTGTTGTTGTCACCTAGAGGCATGCTTTTCTAACTGGCTAATTAAATAAGCAAGTGATAATCAATAGAGTTGTTAGTATAGACAGCATGTGTGGCAATATTAGTAGCTAAAATAATTTTGAAAACTGTCATATAATATAAAATGTCTTAATAATTTCCCCTACAGTTATTTTTAGTAATATATATATAAGAATCTCAATAAATCATTACTATTTATTTACATTGAATGTGTATGAGTGGGTATAGATATAGTCATCCACAAAGAGTATATAACTTGCATTTTCAAATAGTGAATACATATATTCTCCAGAGGAGGTATATATTCTATAACTACACTATCACATAGAGTTAGGTTTCCTTTGCATTTTTCAAATAATTGCAACTTTCATTGCATAAATAGGGCTTTTCTATCAAGTGCTGATTTTTATTCTCTTTACTCACCAGTTATAGTTGTTCACTCAAACTTAGTCTGAAACCTGAAGGGAAGACTTCCAAACTTCTTTGTGAGATAGAAAACTTTGCTCTAGAGGTTATAACAAGTTGCTTAGGGGTCATGTATATTGGAAGTTTTATGTGATCTTTTCATCTAATTTTATTTGTAGAGTTATGTCCATCTTCTGCTATTCTCTGCAAACTGTACACTAGTTTGTACTTAAGGAATATTCAAAACTTAAAAATCAGAATCAGAATTTTGATTTAAACATGTTATTTATGTATTATCAGCCCTAGAAATGTAGATGGTCAATACTGTCAGACTAATATGCAGTTGTTAGGAAATTCAAAACTAGGAGCAATTTCATTGTCTGTTAAAAATGTTCAGGAGGTAAAGAGTGATTCTAAAATGTAAAGAAGATTTTTACTTGCAATCGTCCTTGTCATAATTGATTATGACTAATGAAAAACACAATTCTCAGGTGAGAGGTGAATAGGGGAGGTATATCCTAAGGAATTGCTTGTAAGCAATTTAGAGGGAACATAATTGGCAACATGGTATAAATGTTAGCAATAGTGTCATAAAAGAAAGAAAGCCTGAACTCTCCTAATTTTTAAAATGAAGATAATGAAGTTATATATTTCTCTGAAAATAAAAAAAATAAAAAATTGTGAGGTAAGAATTTTTCTTTAGGAATAGCTTTTTTTTCATATTCCTAGAATGAAAATATTTAAATTTTGCCTTAAATATGAATATTAGTTTATTTCTGATGAGTGCAAAAAATGAATTTTTGATACTATCATTAAATTTGTTTTTTTCTTTTCTATATATTTATTTTATTTGATAATATAATAGTGTTATGACTAAACTACTTGTCACTTTCCCACTGCTTTATGTTAGAGACTTCAGTAAAAAGCAAGTGTAAGATGATAGCTTAAGAAAACAGTTTCATAATAAATAGAAAAATTGGGATTGAACGTAGTAGGATGCAACAAATTAAGTTCATAGTATCACCTACATGATTGCTTCTCTCAAAACGGGTGCAGACAACAGATTGCGTATTTTACTCAGTTACAAGGTTTTACTCTTCTGTAATGAAAATATAACTTATATATCTATCATATTTATTTGTGGTCATATTGACTAAAAGGACAATTTTTTTTCACATTGAGAAACTTTTAAGTGATTTTCTGAAGCCATATACACAAGGCATTATGAAAAACTAATTTGTTAAACTACCATGAAAAATTAGAATTAGCGGTCTACAAGGGTCCCTCTGACATTAGCAGTACTTTAATTACCTAAAGTTTGGCTATAGTTATAAAATACTCATTACTCAGACAGGTTTTATGTGACTTAATTTGGGGTTTAAAAAATAATCATACTCACGTGGAGTCATGTTAGCAGATAATCTTTAGCTGTGAATCGAAGGAAAGTTACCTGATCACATTCTATCACCTGAAGGCAGCTGTAAACCTATAACTTTGACATTTATGTCTTCAGGATGTTCTGATATCTGCTTTTGTTTACTTTATCATTTTTTATTTACTAACCATTTGTAAAGGAAAAGGTGCCTATCATTGATTATAGATTTTAATTACCTTCTCAGTAAGCCTGAAAGTTAACTGAGCTCTAAGAGTAGCTTGGAATGCAGCTTGCTTGAAGCCATGGGCAAGCTGCACTTCAGACACACTCACGCTGGAGTATGGTCCTGAGGGCTTAGCAGAGACCTGACTGATTACCAAGACAAGTAAGGGTTAAGTGTCAGGTGGCGTTGTATACAGCTCAGTGTTGAGCAGATTAACAGATATAGAAATGTGTGAATGTTATGATTACTTCACATGTTTCCTAAATATAATAAGCAGATGACAAAGTATTTACCTGCTCTTAGGGAGCTTTTAACTAAAATCTGTATATACATCAGACCTGAGAGGCAAATTAAATGACCTATTCTAATACTTCAGCACATTACTTCTCCACAGAGCTTGAAGCTATTTCAAATGGATTACATTTGTAACGCATTAAACAAACAAAAAAAAAGCAGCAGTACATATATGGATAATATCTGATCTTTATTATCTATTGTTTCCACTGTCAATGCTCCTGCCTCCCAATAAGTATATGCATAATGCAGATATGTATTCTGTAGGTTGAACACCTTTTTATAGATTAGTTAGCTAAATATAATGATGGGTTTTTGCTTTCTTCTATAACTTGTTATTCATTTATCATCTCAATGAGGTTAACTAACAAGATGGAAAATAAACTAATATGTTTCTGTTGTATTAACTAATTCACATATAGTTTATTATGTCAGTTCTCTGACCCAGAGGATGGCAATCAGATAAAAAGATGTTCATAGATTTAACCACAGCATAGAATACTTTCCTTCTAATGGAAAAAAAAAATTGTTGAACAAGAAATGGACTAAAACACAGCAAATTCTTCCTTGCCTCATTCATTCCGCCCTTTCCTGTTCATCAATTGATAGCATTATCATTCATATTAAACACAACATGGGAATGTTAACTACACGTTGCTAACATAGTGGTATTGCTAGCCTATAGTGTGACATAGACACATGAGTGGCGTTGCTGGAGAAGAAAACACTTAAAGACTATGCTGTGCCCCTCCAAGGAACAGTATTTATTGACACACCCTTTAGGAGGATGCTACACATCCCCTCCTTTTAATCAAGGCCTGATCATGGTTCAGGAGAAGACTTCCTTCTGTCTCTTTTATCTTAGGTGTTTCCTCCTGCAGTTTGATAGCCAGTCTCCTTTCCCTTTAGAACGAGCTGTTCCTCTCTCTCTTCACTTACTAGTTGAGAGAGTTTTATACGTCTCCTCTGCAGACACAGTTGTGTATGGTTCTGCTTGTCCAATAGGGGGGTGTTGCATTTCTACACATTCCGTATCCTTTTCCGCTGGAGCCTGAGTGAAACCTCAGCAGTCCTCCCTGCCTTTGCCAGCCTGAGGAGTCAGAGACTCCAAGTTGTTCCCAGCTCTTGCGCCTTCATTGTAGAGCTGCGTTCTGCTCAGTGGGCTGCCGAGGAGGACCAGACCAAGACAGGACAGAAAAGAATTCTGGTGAGAACTGCTTAGAGGGATATGGTATTTTAAAAGAATGCAGTAAACAAGCAGAA